GCCCTGTGAAATTTCCTCTCTGTTGCCCTTGTCTTCGAGCTTCGTAGAGGTGCCACGACACCACGGTACCAAGATGGCGTTATCGCGATAAAAATTGCACACGTTTCATCGTTCTCTTCGTGTTTTGTCTACTTCGATGCGACCGCAGGAAACGGTGATTCCGGCCGCGTATAAAACCTTATCGGGCGTTGCACGACTCGCTTCCAAGCGAAAAAAAAAAGATAAGGGTAACGAGAATGGTGCAACGACCTTTTATTCGAAGGCGAGTAAGTACTGGCTTACTTGTGGTAAGGGGGCGCGAGTTAGTTCGACCCCGCGAGATCGTGTTTTGCGATGGATTTTTGATGGAAGATCCCTCGATAAATTATATTTTTTTTTTTTTTCAAAATAATTCTTGGTATAAGATGTATTGATGTGTATTTGATATGTATTCTGATTTAACGATCGTATTTACAGAGCATAGGAAAAAGAAAATTGATTATAGCGTAGTGAAATAAGTTTTTCGAATTTTTGATGGAAGATCCCTCGATAATTATATATATATATATATATATTTTTTTTTTTCGTTTCTTAGTATAACGTTTCGCATACTTTTTGCATTCCGTTGGAAGACGTATTGATGTGCATTTGATATGTATTTTCATTTAACGATCGTATGTACAGAGCATAGGAAAAAGAAAATTGATTATAGCCTAGTGAAATAAGTTTTCTATTTATATAATCATGGTCAGACGTGTCTATTCACACTTTTTCATTTTATAAATACGAATTTTTTTTGTTCTTTAAAGAAGAGAATCTGCTTGCATAATCGGAACTCTATGTAGAGATATTATAAAGTAAACCGGTTAATCGAGATTTTATATATTATTACGGAGATGTTAAAAAGGAAACACATATTTTTTGTTGGAGAAATTATATTAACAAATAAGATGTAAAATAAGTGAAAATTTTAATTGACTTTGCTTATTTATATTCAAGCAAATAAAATTATCAAATGTAATCAGCGATATACGTTAAATAATTATTTTAAGTGGTTATTATTCCTGATATAAAAAGATAATTTTAACAAGTGAATTTTAATTACATTTAATTTTTTTTTTCTAATTCCAATAAAAGCATACAATATTAATTTACAGGTAATTTAATATCTGTTTTATGTTTAAATAAAAATATATTCGAAATTATGTATATCAAATGAATTACTGTACATCGCATTAAGCTAATTAAACAGGATAATTAAATGTTGGCATAAATTTAATGCAAATTATCACAAATGAAGTTTAACTGAAACGAAGAGGGATCATTTGAATCAAGCTTCCTTTACTAAAAGCTGTTACTACTGCTCAATAATTAGGAATGTATGAGGTATAACTCGACAGCTATTAAGGTAATTATTTTAAACTTTCAGAAAAATAATAGTATACAAATTTATGCGTGAAATTAATCATTCTACACATCTTACACACATATGAAGGTAAAATAATGTATTTAAAAAAAGAATTAACGTGTAAAATTAACATATCGAATTAAATAAATCAGAAATATTTTACTTCAATTCAAATAATTCCATTAATATTTATTATTCCATTAATTCACATTTCTTATATTTATAGAAATCTTCATTTACCTTTATACCAAATTTTTTATTAGAATCATTAGAATTTCAAAAGTTGTTGTTAAGGTAATTGTAATTTTAAGAAATTATTAAAAATAACCAAATTCTATCATGCAAATTTGTCTACCTTGAGTTTTACCTCTACCTCTTCCAAAGAAAATAAAAGCATCGATACTTACGACTTACGAGTGCCTTTCACAATATTCAAATAAATTGTCTTTCCTACACAAAGAGAAGAATCGACAATTTATCATCGATAATTACATAAATAAAAGATCGTGCAAGGAACGAGTAGGGTATAATATTATCAAAATGATACACAAACTTCGTATGCCATCTATTTTTCGCATATAACGTCTATTGTTCCCATCCAAAAGAAACAGAACAACCTTTTCTGCGCCTGCAGACATTCAAGGACAATTGCGGTAAGAATGGTACCGGAAGATGATGCGAGTACAGTGAAACAAAAGGAGTTTACGCCTCATTTTCAGAATTATAGTGGCATCTCTAATGAGGGACATGCACTTTGAGGCCATTTGAGGTTACATTGGTAATTGTCTCGCCAAGATTACTTGCTTAAGCGATTTTCCTTATGCTTGCTCAAGACCCATGGGATACACGTTCATGGGATAGAATGCGAATTCTCTTCGAATTGTCTTCCCTTAATTGGACCTGATTCTTGATCTCAATTAGACCAGTTTTCTTAGCTACAATTGCGGAAATGTCGCATATATATATATCATCATATTATTAGAGATAAAAATTAATTTCAAGTGATTGTCGATTGTTCTCGATCTCTTGGAATTATTCTGATGGGATATTTTTGAAACGAGTAGAGAACAAATTTTAGGAATAAAATTTTTAGACAAATTTATATATTTGAAAAAAATATCGAATGAACGAATAATGGTGATAATAATGCTCGATAAAATGCTGATTAATTAAACAAATTTATATAAAAGAGTAAATTGAATATACGTATAATGAAATCATGACTTGCAATTTAATCGTTAAATTATAATTTTGAAAACAAGTTAATTCATAAATTTATACAGTATGCTATCAATTTTATTTTTTCTTAAGGATGGAGGTATAAAAGGTAGAAAATATTAAATGGTATAATAATTTTTCACGATATTGCTGGTTTTTAATGAAATAATCGTTGAAAATTTTAGTGTTATAATATAAAAAAGTATATAAAAACAAATGGTATGTTCTGTCAGATAAAATTTAAATAAAAATTTCCTACGTAAATTTCTTAAATAAATTTCTTAGTAATCAGAGAAATTTTCAGAAACTTTACTGACTAGAAAAGGTTATTTCACGAACCATTACTTCGGGTTCTTCATTAAGCATTCATGGAACCAGTACTTAAGCAATTTCCTCGAACATACGTTTTAAAATTTTTTATATTGAAAAAGTTTCTCGTGTAATCTTACATAAAAAACTTTGAAAAGAATATAGCTTTTATTTTAATAAAAAAAAACAAAAAAAAAAAAAAACATTCATACAAATATCTTTGTCAAAAAGATACTTATTCTTCTTACAGACTTTTCATTTTATACGTAAGATTTACATACAGATACATTCCAAAAATAAATTTTGATTTTGCATAATTATCCTTATATTATAATCTCCAATCACAATATTAACTTAATATTGATTAATAAAACATTCTTAAATTTCAATAAAAATCAAAACTCTCCAATTTTTCAAGTAAACCATCACATTTTCTCCTTCTCTTGAATTACTTCGTTCAATTGTCTCGGAGATTCTTTTTTCAAAAAAATTGTTTCGTTACTAGGAAAGAAAAAGAAAAAAAAAAGAAGAAGAGAAGACAGAAACTTAATCCAGCTTTGCAACAGACACATTTGATACTGAACGTTAATGCCGCAACGGTATTACCGGCTCCTCCCGTTTCTTCCGCGTCTACTAGCTAACTTTCTTTGACCTTGAGAAGATTAATACCCCGAGATTTAATTAAAGCCACCAATTTTAATCATAACGTTCATTAGAACCCGTAATAATCTTCGTGTTCAACCGGCTGACGGAAGCCGCGTTGCGAAAAGAAATCGCGGGCGAGCGTTAACTAACCATCTGATTGATTGCGCTCGTCATGCTCGCTTCCGCGATATACATTTGCATGATGCATTTCCTTCAAATTATAATTTTGCTTTGTTTGAAAAATCTTGCCTATTGAAAAAAAAAAAGAGTGAGAGAATGAGAGAGAGAGAGAGAGAGAGAGAGAGAGAGAGAGAGAGTAATTTGTATTGTTACAAAGATAGTTATTTTTACTT